TAGGCGGGGTTAGTCAGCCGGCAGTCCCCGCTACGGGGGCGTTGGGGACACTGCCGCTCTGTTAGGCTCGCGGGGCATTCATGCTTGGCTCCTCTCCCCCGGCTCGGGACCAGAGAGTGTCCCGGGGGTGGGACGGGGGCCCCATCGCAGGCCGAGGAGGGTGACCTGTACCTGTGCCTTGCACATGTGACGTGCTGAGATCAGTGACCTGGCACCCGGAGGAGCACGCTCTGCCCCATACAGTTCACCCTCCGTTTTTCCTGTGTTTTTCTTTGCTTTCTGGCTGTGCCATCAGACTGGGACAAAAATCCTGCAAAACTGGGCTGAGCCCCACGCGTCCAAGGGGACGCAGACCCTGGGAAGCAGTCACCTCCCCTGCTGGGAGGGAGATGCTCCAGCCTGCTCCTCTGTGCCTCCCCCTGAGGAGACCCTGCCCTAGAGCAAGCGATCCGGCAGGCGTGGGCTGACCCTCGTCGGTGGGACGAGCCAAGGGGTGGGGGATGTTTGGTTACCGAGGCTGCAGCCTCTCGGAGCGCTTTCTGGATGCCTTGAGCTGAGCTACGGTCAGAAAAATCTGCCTGTTGTGTTGAAGGCACCTTCCTTGGTGCCGCAGCCCCCAGGGTGCCTGGGCAGGGGGAGAGCAGCAGCATCCCCTTCCCGCCTGGGGGCTGGACCAATTTTCCTACCAGCAAGACTTTCCAAATCTTCTCTGGCTGTCCTAAGAGACAGAGCCCTGGGGAGGAGGGGTGGTGACAGTGGAGGTGGTTTGGGGGGGTCAGCAGCACCGTGGCTACAGCCAGGAGAGAACCTGCAGGGGAGGGGACAGCCTCTGCTGCCAGCCTGGGGCAGACCCCTGGGCCTCACCCGGATCTGGGGGTTTCTCCAGGCTGCAGAATTTCCTGGAGTATCGGTTTTCTCCAGGTGTAGTGTGACGGATGTTGAAATCGCGAAATAACTTTGCTAGGTGTGCAACCGGTGTGCCGCAGCAGGAGAGGCGCTGGCTGGGGAGGAGGAGGCGGGCTCGGTTACGTCAGGAAGCGGCTGAGAAGGAATTAGGCAGGTCACAGCTCGCCAGGTTAGGCTCGGCCACCTCCTCCTCCCCGAGCGGTGCAGGGCTTAGGCTTGGTTCACGTTCCCCTGGGCTCACCAGCGTTCTTAAGCGCTGTGGTTCCAGAGCAGCTCTTGGAGCAGTGAGAGTTCTCCAGCATCTCAGCACCTTGCGAGATCAAACCGGGAGCTCAATTTTTGGGCATCTGCATGTCTTAAAAACTATTCCAGTAACCTTGCTGGTTTCGGCCTGTGTCCAGGTGAGGAGCTCAGTGCTCTGGTTCCACCAGCCCAGCAGGGAGCTGGCCTTGCACCAAAAGCCACCGGTCTCTACGCCGCAATTAAAACATACCTTTGTCAGTCATGGGAACGCTGCCCTTGCCATCTCTTTGGCTCTGGAAAACCAAAAATTACGCCAGGCTTGCTCTCTTAATCCTGTTCCGGGTATGCGAGGCATCCTTGTACCCGCAGGAAGGAGAGTCCGTCTGAGCCATGAATAGGGTCTTACAAAAGACTGCGCTCGTCAGGGAAATAAAAGCCAGATAAAGTGGCAATTAGCAATTTTCTGTGTTCAGTGGAAACTGGTGCATATAATAGCAACATTTGAGATGCATAAAGCTCTGTTCCGCACCCCCCCCGCCCGCCCCGATTCCTTTCTTTCCTTCAGAATTGTTCTTATGAATTGGAAAGGCCATGATATTTGTGAGAAACTGGAGAGGAAAAAAAAAAAAAAAACCCCAGCCCCCCTGCCCGGGGGCAGATGGCCACACAAAAGGCTGAGTGGTGCAGCAGCCCCGGCTTTGCTGCTCTGCCTGCTCCTTGGCTGACGCACAGAGGTGATCTGACCGCTGCTTTCTCCTTCCCAAATTGCTTTCCAGTTGCTTTCCTGTCAAAGCCTCAAGGCCTGGTTACTCCCAAGAAAAAAGGAAACGGGAATAAAAGAAGAAAAGGCAAAGGCCTGGGGAAGAAGCGAGACCCGTGCCTGCGGAAGTACAAGGATTTCTGTATTCACGGCGAATGCAAATACATCCGAGAGCTGGGAGCTCCCTCCTGCATGTGAGTTGTTGGCGTGTGCCTGTGCCGGGGGAGCCTTAGTCACGGTTCCTTCAATTCTCCAGGCTGGGCAGAGGAAGAGTGGAGGAGATTATTTTTAGTGCATGTTCGCCATCCGTGCAGGGACGGCTCTGACTTGGCCTCTTCCTTGTGCTTCTTGAGCAATGTCCGTCCCCCACCAAAATCCGTCATGGACTCAGCCCCGGCATTCCCTGCTGGCGCGGTGAGCTCCGGCTGAACTGCCGCACCAAGACCTGGGCCGTGGGTTTCGGAGGATGGCGAGCAGGGGTTGGGGGCTCGCAGCCAAGGTCTCCTGCTGGTCTGGTTTGTGAGGCCCCATCCCTGCGACCCCCCCGTCCCTCGCAGCTGCCAGCCTTGGCTGAGAGCTCAGGGTTCCCGCAGCGGTGGGGGCGTACTGATGGGGGCAGGAAGAGCATCTCTGCGGTGGCAAGGTGGATTGGAGTTGGCACCTTTGGGGACAGTCTGCCAAAGCCATGCCCAAGCTGTCCCTTGGCCCTGATGGAGGGCAGGACTGCGTACCCCCCCCTGCCCCGGGATGCAGGTCGAGAGCAGGGACTGGGCAAGGCAAGCGGAGGAGCAAGCGCTTGCCTGCTGCTGGGGCACCTGGATCCAGCACTGCTGCCGCAGGAAATGCCCAGGGGTGCGCATCTGATCCCTGCTGACGTGGGCAGGGGTTGAGCTGGCAGATATATAAGAGGCTTTGTTCTTTGCTATCAATCCTCTGAGCCATCCAGCCCTGCTCTCGGAGCCCGGGGAAGATAATAGCTCCCTGGCTTACGGTGCCCACAAGATCTCGCGCCCTGCAATCCACAGGGATCAGGCTCCGCATAGCTCCTTGAACCGCTTAGTTCCTCCCTGCCTGGAAGCTGTCGTGAAGTTGGGCCCTAGCACAGGGGGCTCAGGACTGCCAGCAGCAGGAGGTCTCTGCTGGCTCAGCTTGGGCCGGTGGCCCAGCGTGATGTGGGGTGTGGTGTCCCCTGCCCGGGACTGGGGCAGCCAGGTGTCCCCTGCCCAGCCGCCTGCCCTTCCCAGATCCCCGGGGAGGCCCCGGGCCACAGGCCAGCAGGAGGGGTCCAGGCTGGGGCTCTCCAGCCTGGTGGCCCATCTCTGGGTGACATCTCCCCAGAGCCATCATGGGTTTTAGGAACAGCGGCCAAAGGCTCCAGTCCCCTCTGACAATGTGGTCCCGTGTTG